AGCTTCTGCTGTTGATGAACTTGATCTAAAATTAATATTGCTTCCCCCAATATTTGTCATCCTATTGCTCATATAATTAATCTCTCTTTAACGACAGCAACTTACCCATCAGCATGGAAAATTGCCAAAGTTACTCCTGTATTTAAAAGTGGTGACAGACTAAACACTGAATATTATAGACCGATTTCTGTTTTACCTATACTATCTAAAATGATTGAAAAATTTGTTTATAATCAACTTTACTCTTTTTTAACACATAAAAATATAATTACCAATTGTCAATACGGTTTTAGGCCATTTCATTCTACTAATACCGCACTTATTGACAGGGGCGGCACCAGGAATTCCCTGACGAGGGGTCCAGCTCCCCAACAAGGGGATCCAAGATCCCCAACAAGGGTGCCACCCCTAGCACCCCGCCCCCTCCCATGGTCAGGGAAAATTGTGCAAAATAGCAGCAAAGTTACTGCTGCTATTTTGTTTTGACACTGTTAACCATACTATTTTAATTAACAAACTTAAATAATATGCAATCAGAGGCACTACTTAATACTGGTTTTCCTCATACCTTTCTGGATGATCTCAAGTTGTTAAGATTAAATCCAAATTATCAGATCCTAAAGATATCACTATTGGTGTCCCTCAAGGATCAATTCTTGGCCCCTTCTTTTTATTATATATATAAACTCCCTGCCTGAAATTATTACTCCCGATTCAAAATATGGCCAATATATCTAAATGGTTTAATATAAATAAATTAACAATTAATGTTATTAAAACAAAATTGATGGTATTTTGTTCAAAATTCAATTTCCCAAAATTTTCAAATATTTCCTTATCAATAAACAGTCATGTATTAAATTGGAGTTGATCATTTTAAATACTTGGGAATTACCTTTGATACTTTCTTTACATAGGATAATCATATTGAGAATTTTTGTTCCAAAATTTCTCAACGCATTAGTGTTGCTCGTAGGTTAAGATATTTTTTACCAAATTCTTCTTATAGACTTTTAGCAAATTCTTTTGTATTACCTTTTTTCAGTTGTAAGTAGTACTGTATGGTCTAATTGCACAGCTGCACACCGTAATTCACTCCAGGTTTTACTAAATAGGCTTGCCAGAATTATTTTGCATGAGCATTTAGGTATTTTGGTCAGGCAGGAGACTCCACACCAACCTCAGCGCCACCATGGTTGGGGCTGATGTTAAGAATTTCTAGCATTTATGGCCCTGTCACACCTTGGCGATTATCACGTGACGTAGCCTTTGAAAAAGCTGCCGCTCGTCGGTTCAACTCATAACTGAACTAGACATTGCAATATCAACATCACCGTATTGATATCATCATAAGTTAAAAACACATTCAGTAAGATTTGTGGTTGTCTGGAACACGTCAAATACGTCTACATACGTAAATATACGTTGGAGATAAGTTTGTTATATGTTACATATTAGTTTGAAGCATGTTACTCATAGGTTAGAAATACGCCTTGACTTTTGAGTAACTTACAAGTAACTTGTGTCAACGTGTGTCAACAATAGCTTAATTTACCTACAACTTATGGCCCGCGTATGAGGAACGTACGAGCCATACGCTGGCATACGTCGAAAAGTTTGACGTACTCGCCCTACTAGGGCGTATACCAGCGTGCTCTTAACTTATACGAAACTTACCAATAACTTATTCGACATACGCCAGTGTATTCGCCATTTTCACGATTTTCTTAAGTATCTTAATTTAATAATCTACATAAAAATGTTTGAACGTAGAGTATATGAAGCATTTAGATTTTTAGAAATCAAATATCACACCTGAGAATTGGTGACTGAGGTTCAGATTTTTTTTTTTTTTTTTAAGGATTTAGCACTTCTAGAAGCTCGGAAATAGCACTCCAACATTTCATAAACTACTTATAAAGTATCATAATTTTGCAAAGAAAATGTTTAAATATAGGAAGCATTAAGATATACATCAAATATTATCGCACATGGGATTTCATCCTTACAAACATTAGGCTATTTGACTTTTATTGACATTGGCTGCCATTTCTCTACCGTAACTAGTGTAGTACTGTATTAACGTCGATGTACACTGTATATTTTCCAGTTGGCTATCTTAATGTCATCCAGTGGAGAATCCAGAAATTTAAAATAGAGGGGCCCAGGGAGGGACTTGCCTCTGTCACAAAATAGTTGGGGCTGAGGTAAGAAAAATCTATGATTTTGGCACCTCTAGTTGGCTGAAATGAAATGGTAGAAAATTCAAGACGAACACTCATACGCTCCAGAAACCATTCACCAAAACTCCTTGACCAATCGGAGCAGTTCCCAACTAGGCCTGCCTCTAATTTGTCATACAAGCAAGGCCTTCCAACTGTATTTATTCAGTCTGCGAGTGCCATTTCTGGCCATGCTAGGGCTGAGGTGGTAAATTGAAGGGTGGGGGGACTCTCCAAGCCCCTTATAATTTTTTGAAGGTTATAAAGAATTAAAGAATAAAAAGAAAAAAAAAACATACTGTAATTTAAAATTAAATTTAAGTCCTCAACACCAACAATGGTGGGGCCAGGTGAGGTGGGTTGACCCAGATCATTTCTGTGAAAGTCCCTCCCTTGACCCCCCCCCTTTTTAATGGATCCTCTATTTTGAATTCCTGAATCCCCCACGGTCCCTCTCTGGCCTGGTAAAGTATGGACGTATACGCTTAAAAACAACAACAAAGTGATTTATTGCCTACCCTGTTCCCAATCAGATCAGCATAAGCTTATTTTATGAATTCTCGATTTTTTATATTTTTCATCTCATGTACGACGTAAAGCGCTTGTCATTGTTTGTTCATATTCACAGTTTCCATTAATTCCATTTATTTATAATATAACATTTACATTTGTGGTAAAAATTTAGTATTTTTAATGCCCAAAAATATTACACTATTATAGACCTATATTATTTCTTTAATGTAGGTTAAATATTAATGTTTTATTTACCTTGTTGACATATGTAGTGAAAATTTGAAACACCACGTAGTTGAAAGTGGCATGTTTCACATCTAGGCTATGTGTATATCTAATTTGTCCAACCTAGATTTATTTACGATTCTTTAAATTTAATCATATTAGTTTATATTGCATCTTCAAGATCTGTTAAGACTTCAAAATATCAAGAATGTCTGTGCATGAGGGGGCTCTGCCCACTTGACCTTAGAAGGATGTCCTCACCCCCACATTTTAGTCCCCTTTCCACAAATTTGCACCCACCCAATAAAAATCTTGTGTACGGGCCTGAGTGGTGGATCTAGGAATTTAAAACACAGGAGGGCCAGAGAAGGGGGCCTTCAAAGATGGCACCTCTAGATGACCACAAAGGACACTCTTATATTTAAATTTTAATACAATTTTCTTTTTTTAATCCATTTTTTTTTTTTCAATTTTGAAAAAATATAAGGGGAGGGCGAGCTGGCCCTCGAATCTACTACTGCCATCAAAAGTCAAAATTTGCTCTTTGGTGCGCATGGTTATATCGTTTTAACACGGGGCACTCAATAATAGTATTAATAATTTTTTAAAATGTGTAACTGAAGTAAAAATTAGGAGAAATTATTTTTTTATTTATAAAAAGTATTATTTCAATATAATATTTATCATCTCAGCAAAATATTGGTCAGACAGCCGCCTGACCTGCCGGACCACTTCCGCCGCCCATTTTATCTGTGTTTTCATCTGTATTTTCTAGTATTGGAATAATGATATAAGGAAGCAAGTAATAGGTAGTAATTTTTTGTGTAATTTTCTGTAGACAACAGTTGTGAGGAGACAAAAACAAGATGCTTCTTGTGTTATGGAACCAGAACCTGCAACATGTAAAAAGGTATGAGAACAGTTATTTAATATTGATCTACAAGTTTTCCTCCACCTAGATTTCATAGGATGCTGTTCAAGAAGTAAAGATATTTGCACCAGGGAAGAGTGCATGGAGAGCTTTTGAACTGGACATCAGTGGGTTCAACTCAAAGCACTGCTGCATGAATACATTATTATTTTTTTTTTTTTTTTTTTTTTTTTTTTTTTTTTATAGAACAGCAGCTTTCTAGCTAGATACAGGCTTGCAATTTGATATAATAAAACACAAATACTGTAAAAATGTTTCATAAGAGCCATTTCCTAGTTCCGTCTGCATGGTTGGGTTGAAGATCAACTTGCATAAACAAATCACGCAGTGCAAGGCCAATATTGATCTTTTATATAACCCCATGATTTGATTAATTATATAGTTTTATTTACATATGAAAGATAATGGGCAGTTGAAATTACAAAATGATTTATTTAAATGTACTCAGTAATGAAGCAGTTGGTAAATCAGGCATTTCAATCGCATGCTTTCCATTTTACCTAATGTCCTTGCTCATGCACATTATGTTTAATTTTGTCTCCTGGATTATTTATTAGTAATTGGGAAATATTCATCATAATTAGTCATCTTTTCATTATCAAATCATAATCAATGATAATGGCTCTTAGTAACTGTTTTCATTTTGGTTTGTGTAGGTTTTGTTATTTCTTCAAAATGTCCTTAAGAATTTGTGCTTATCTGCAAGAGGGATTCAATACGAGATGTGTATACGTTGTAGTTGTAGTGAGGAATGTCAACGCATGCACCTTGTTAAACATATCAACAAAGATGAGGTGCATTGTGGAGAGCATATAATAAGCATCAAACGCTACTGCAAATTGTTTGGAGGTGAGGTTTTACAGTTACTTGTTTATTTGCTTGTTTGTTTGTTTATTTTGTTAGCATATATATTTATGTACTTATTTAATGGATACTTGCTTGTCCTGCAAATCCTCAGTTGGACGTAGCATCTCTGATATGCTAAACACGAGGAAGCTCTTTGCCATTCAGCCTGTTTCAACCACGCTAATGTTTAGTAGCTCTTCAGTGTCTTTGTCCCGTTTTCTTAGCCGTCCTCTACCTCTCTTCCATAAATGTCTTTTCTAAACCGTTGTGATGTTTTCAATTCAGTGTGACCAAAATATTTTCGAGTTTTAAAATTAAGAGATGTTAGCCAGTTTTTTCAATTCCCAATTGTTCTCTCATTGATTGATTTGTTCTGTATTCCCTCCACAAAACAGCCATTATACTCTTTGGTAACACTTAATGTCAAAAACATTTAAGGCAGCCTTCACTTTTTATTTAGAATTCAGGACTCACATCCAGAGTATGCACACATATTGTATTTATGTTCTTTTGTATGTAATATCTTTTTAATATTGTTCATTCCAATTTTCTATCCTTCTTTTTATTTTGCCAATCTGGCTAGCATTTTCATGGATGTTTGACCTGAATCCCCAAAGGTTATTTGTCCGATGTTTGTAAAGTAGCGAAAGATCAGCTGAGCGGAGATTTGATCGTAATGTTTTGTATGGAGTCGAACCTTTTGATGTAAGCTGGTGAAACAATGTGCAAAGGCTTTGAAGACAAGCGATCCTAGCTTATACTTGATTCATTGTTTCACAAGCAGCCAATGTAGCACCTTTAGGACAGGTCTTACATGTTCTTTTTTTTTTTCATACAATACAAATCTGTTTGATTTGTGTGATGTACCATAGAAAATAAAGCTTAAAAATATTGTCTTTGATGTAATTATTTTACTTAACTACTTTGAAGCCGTGAGCCCACATTCACTTTATCTTCACCTCGGTTCGGGCTGAGGTGCAAAAATTTGTGGAAAAAGTACCTCTAGATGGCCGGAATTGACACATAATAGTGAAATTCATTATCACATCACCATTGTAGTTAAAATGAAGCACCAACAAATTTCTCATGATCTTTTATGAGTGATTTTTGGCAATCAAAGATCTAAATAACCTGTGTGATATACAATAGTTGGGGCGAATGCAGGATTTGGTGATAGGGGTGTGTGACGGTCCCATTACCTCAGCTCTATCATGGTCTTGGCTAGGTGGGGTATTTTTATAATATGCACTTTCAGGTGCCCAAAATCTGCACTCTCATACTTTTAAAATCCTACCAGTGTTTCATAATGATAAAAATAATATATCAACAATACAATACAGTGTTTTTCTTAATACAATTTAAGGGGTGCGATCACACCCTATCTACCCCCTGAATCCTCCCCAGCATAGAAAATAAAAGTTAAAAACACTGTCTTTGATGGGCTGATGTGTGAAAATTTGGGGAAATAGTACAATCTCTCTTTAATGTCTTCAAACATACATATAAACATAATTCTTTTTAGACAAAAGAAAACCCAAAAATAAAATTTCATTTCATTTATTTGTCTCAAACAATTAAAATGTACATAAGCAGAAACGGCAAAGAACAATCACAAAAGTACAGAAAACTGAGACAGGACACTCCACAAGTAAAATCAATCACTGTCGAGTGGAGGCCCTTTACAAGAAAAACACAATACATACAATATAAAATTCTTCAGAAAGATAAAAAATCAAAAGATGAATATTGAAATATAGAAAAATGAGTAAAAATTAATAAATGAACAAATTTAATTTAAAAGGTATTTTAAGATATAAAAATATTCAGATCTTTTACTTATCGAGTTTTGGCCTTTAAATATATATACTGAATATATAAATATAAATACTGAAATGAAAGAGAGTAAAGCACTGAAAACAAATACTTTAAAAAATTAATAGTATTTAATAAAACAATAAGTAACAAAGTCATTAATTAAACAATAATACTGTCCAATACAAAACCACTGGAGCAATGTTTAAAAATTAATATTTAGCTAATAGATATTGTTTGGTTTTAATTAAACTTTTGTTTTTTTTTATGAAATTGATTTTAAGTCTACTGGTAAATTATTCCAAAGTTTTGGGCCTTGATAAATGTTTACTGAGTTGAATGATTTGCTGTAGAACTTTTTACTGCAATTTGCGAAAATGTAGACATGTTTTGAAACAATTGAACTAACTGATTGAAATATTTGAAGGAGATAATTGAGGAATATGGGACATATCCTGATGAAGTGAAGATCACTGGATTTTCAGCACACCATCAACATCTGGTTGCTCTTGCAAAAGACTTAAAAATTAAAGATCGCCATACAGTTTGTCAGATGTATGCTCTTTCGAAAACATCATAAATATACAGTTTCTTCTATGTTAATTTTATATATCAATCACTTTGAGCAACAGGACGGGAAGATGGTTGGACGGTGGTGCCGTGCTCATCAGAGCGTAAAGACCACAGCAGTCACTTGGGCGCTTAACCCGAATTTTCGTTCTCAACGGCTCCCTGTCCTTTTGCGTAAAGTGCCTATTATTAGCTGTGTACTGTCTTTTGGACAGAATTTAAAAACCTTCATGGTTTACCATCTCATCAAACATAATATGGACTGACTTACTGTCAGTAGGCATACATCAAGTAATTAAAAAAAATAAAAAATTTCTTAGTAACTTCATCACAAGCCATGCAACTCTGTGTTTAATACAGTACTAAAGGATACTCTCATATTAAAGCTGCAGGCTATCACTTTAAATGTTTTTATTTTGAGGGTTAACATTGTTAATTTTTTATTATAGATAATCTTTTTATGTTAAGACTGATTGGTGTTTCCAATAATTATTACACAAAATACTGTTATGTTTTAAGTAATCCAAAGACAAAGTGTACATTAAGGCAATATGTTTATTTTAATTATCTTTTAATTAAACAGATCTAACTGCAAAAGTTGTGGGCTCTTCTGGTGGAGATCTTAAATTTGAGGAGATCAAATTGGTCATACCTGCTGGTGCAATTGCAGAGGGTGAACATGTTGACATATTACTTGGACAGCTTAATGCAACAGAGGAATGTAAAGTGCCTTTTGCTAATAACCTGGAGTCAAGAATATCGCCTATAGTGTCATGCGGACCATCAGGCAAAATCTTTAACAAACATTGTACACTTTCATTTCCACATAATGCAATCAACAAGGAGTCTTGGGAATTCACTGTATACGTAAATGAAAACTACTGTGATGATTGGAAGAGAATAGAATGTGATGACCAAAATACCAAGGTTTCTATACTAGATGGACGATGTTGTGTAGAAACAGAGCATTTTTCTTGTTACTGTTTAACAGGAAAGGTTAAAATATTATCGCACTGTAAAAAGAAATTGCAATTAGGACTGTATGGAAAGATGCTTGGTGAAGGGTACTACCTACTAAGAGTGAGAGTCTGGAGTAAACATGATTATAAGGTAATGACAGCTGTTAAATTATTGTATTCAACCAGATTTATTCATACAACATGCAAGTACCTACAAACTATTGTTATGTATATCCAATACTCATGTAAACATTTTTTTGTGAATAAATACCACTGTACACCTTGGGGCTGAATGGGACCACAACATTGGATTATGTATTAGTTCTTAGCTCATTGCATATGATGTGTACTATTATATAATTTATTTGTTTGCAAATTATTTTTCACAGTTACTACGCTATATTTCAAACTACATTACATACTAATAATTTTTATCAATATCTTAGTTGGTAGAAAATGAAGTAATTATTCAAAAAGAAAAACGTCTAGACATGTTACCACCAATTATTGTAAAGTATGAAGACATGGACATAAGCATAGATGGATTGCACAATAAATGGCAATTAGAAAGCTCTGCAACAGTGGTATGTATTTTTGGTTTATAATTTTCAAAATCATGAACAAGACGCTTTCTTTCAATTGTGTAAGCATCTAGATCCAAATGTTGACTGTATTTTGTTTTTTTTTCAACAATAAATATTCCTTGATTCTGTGTTTCTAATTTGTAATAATGTTACTACTAATAATTTGTATTTCATTGCAGCTTCTGATATTTTCAATTTGTACTTATAAAAATATCGATGTTATTAAAGCCAAGATAATTTGAAACATGGTTGCTTTTTTCGCATCATTAAATCTAATGTTAAATCTAAATAGATATTGATGATAATAATGAAAAAGATATTATACATACCGTATTCGATATAGCACATATCTCAGAGTTGCTTTTTTTTTTTTTTTTTTCAGAAAATAAAACGTTATCAGATATGGTCATCATATGGATCATTTGCATTTTATTTAAAATTAAATGATGCATCAATAAAGGTTTTACAGGCAAAACTATTGTTAACCCAAGGATCATACAAGGTTTTGGAGATACCTGTACATATAGATAGTCCATTCATTACAGGTACAGTACAACAAACCGTTTTATACCATAATTGTCAATGGCTCTGGCAAAACCAGGTGCTTGTTTTGAAAAACAAAAGAATTCTTCAAATCTGCTAAATTTCTCATGTATTGTATGTATTTTAACTGTTGGACTAAATATACGAATTACCATATCTTTGCCTTTTGTTATCCATTTTAAAAAATGTTTTCATCAATTATCTGTTGACCTAGATAACAATGATCTAATATTGTCATTTTCATTTTTTGAGACAAGATCCTGTTTTTGCTAGAGTTGGTCACAATTGTATTACCTTACATTTCAGCTACATCTTTACTTTTCGCTATGCAAATGTCAAGTATGTTGTGTATGTAATGTGCCATTTAGACTCCTTAAAATAAATGGTGAAGCAGATCACCAATTATTTAACATAATTATAATCAAGGTTCAAAAACAATGAAAAACATAATATTTGATTAAAATTTTGTTAAATGGTGTACTTCATACACATAGATATTCCAGGCACATCATTGGCTTTCGGTACACCTTCTACATCCTTAGCTTTGGTAGACAGGCCTACTCCTATGGATACACCACAAGTTCAAGATGCATACCAAATGCCAGGTTAGTTGGTCCGATACCACCATGGTTGCTCAAACACATACTGTACCAACTTGCATGAATTTACTAGGCCTACATTAACTGTGCATAGTCTTTAGAGCAACTAATGTGCCTAAATACAATTTTCATAACAACAAAACTGAATTAGGTGTCACAAAATTAATTATGCACTTTCAAAAATCCAAACAAGTGAACACAAACTGTAAATATCAAAAACAATCAAAAACATTGTACTTGATTAAAATTTTGTGACATTGAGTACTTTGTATACTCATAGATATTCCAGGCACATCATTGGCTTTGGGTACAGCTTCTACATCCTCAGCTTTGATAGACAGGCATACACCTGTGGATACACCACAAGTTCAAGATGCATACCAAATGCCAGGTAGGTTAGTCCGATACCACCATGGTTGTTCATACAAATACTGTACCAACTGACATGAATCTACTAGGCCTAAATGTTCATAGTATTTAGAGCAAATAATACATTTATTATTATTATTATTATTATTATTATTATTATTATTATTTATTCTTTCTTTTTACTGGATTGCATTTTCAGTAGCGAAGTAGCTTTTGAAAATGGTCCAGTTATAAAGTACAGTAAATTAAAAATGTAAATTAAATGTAAAGTAAACCTAAAGAATTAAATAAATATCAAAAATGTACAAAGGTAAAAATTACATTAGGATCAATACAAATGGAATTTTTGAATTCATTAATTTTTTTTTTTTTGGTTGCAGTTCTAATTTGAGAAGGCAAATTTCCATTGGTTCGAGGCTCTGAATTTAAAATATCTTTTACCTGATTTCGGTTGCATTTGGGATGGAGAGAATAATTGAATTTAAACATTGATAATAATATGATGGTGCTTGACCGTTTATACATTTCAAAGTTTCTACTAGTAGATGTTCCCTCCATCTTTTATTTAGCGTGCTCCAATTTAGTGCTTTTAATGAATCATTTATTGGTGGTATCATAAAAATAACAGAGTGACTATGCTTACGCAGAGATGTAATGCATTGAGATAGCGAGAGTTAGTCTTAAGTGTAGGGTAAAGCCAAGTCAACCAATGAGCGCATTGGGATTTTGATCACTTCGACGTAAGCATAGCCACTGTGTAAAAATAATGATACACATATACATGCAAAAGACTAAACACAAATACCTTAAGCAAATGAAGAATAGATTTTAACAAAAATACTCAACATTTTTAATGTGTGGCAATGATAAATATATTTTAATTCAGATGTATAAGACAAATAATAATGTTTCTCTATTTGATAATTTCTATAAAGAAATGTCTTTGGATTTCAATCAACTGCTCAAAGACGTGTCCTCGTGGTGGAAAGAACATGGAAACTTAAATATGTTGAAAGTGATACTTAGCGAATTTAAGGTAATTCCTGTAGCACAGATGGAGGAGAAAAGCGAGCCACATTCTCTCTTTCAACAGCTTGAAGGTAGTGGGCTTATCAGCAAATCAAATGTTGATGTCATTATTCAAGCTCTTGTTTTGGGTGGACTATGTGGCATAGACTCAAAGATCAAAAAGTCGATACCGACATTTCCTGGATTTAGTAAAGTTGTAATCACCAGATTTTCAAAGCATCGACGAAATTTGATTGAATTTGGCAATGCTATAGACAAAAAAAACATAGCAGACATTCGTTATTTGTATTGCCCTAACAAACTCCAACTAGATGATCAGTGGAGTTTAATATTTCAACTGGAAAAGGATGGTATACTTACTGACGACCGAAAAGCCAAGGAAGCATTCGTTAACAAACTGACAAGCAATGGTATAACAAAAGCCAAAATATTGAGTACCATTTAAAGTGAAACCAAATAAGATTACGATGATTATTAAAGTCAAAAAAGGTGAAAAAATAACATAAAAAATGTTATGGCATACAACTACTTGTACTGCAAAAAGCAATATCAACAATAATCATATACAAATAGTTATTTTTTATCTATAATTGTTAAGTTTAAAGATGTGCTGTCTGTCATGAACTAAAAAAAAAAAATTCCATACAACTGATAAAATTCAACTTTTGTGTAAGGGCTAATACATAATACAATTATAACATCTTACATTCCTATTTAAGCACTGTTTTTATTTATCAATTTGTTTACATTGTGTTTACAGTGCTATACAAAAAGCCTATTTACGATGACTTCCAAGCAGCGACTTAAAAACTACGCTGTAGTTCCACTTATTGTATGTGTGAGTGTGCAAGTGGCTTGTATGAGAGAAGGTGCCTAATGGGTTAGATGTGCATATATATATATATACATTTTTTTTTTTATACCATTGAAAAGCTCAATTACTAACTTTTATTGTTGAAACAATTTCTAATTTTCATCGAAGTATCATTGAAATATTCCATTTTAATGATTTTAGCAATATGAATTTAATAGCATATTATATGATTAAAAAGATGTAGTAATATTGTCATTAGTCTTTTTCATTTGTAGAATTTGGATTCCAAATTTGAAATTCTTTATGATTGAATATAAATTATATGAAATTATGTAATTAATGACTCACATCAGCTGTTACAAAAAAAAAAGGAAAATATTGCCTTATATTATGAGAGAGATCTAAAATGATCAAACTGCACAGAAATAAATTGCTTTCCATACTTATCAAATGTAATTAAAATAGTAATTTTAGTCCAAGTATTATATATTTGTGACATTTGTCACAGACTAGACATGTTATAAAATCACATATTGCACTATCAGAACTATACCCAATGACCATTCCTTTGTGATTACTTATAAAATCATTATTCATTTTAGTTTTCCTTATTTTTTATATGTTTTAAAACTGATTTTTTTTTTAAGACATAAAAGGCATATTTGATGAAAACCTCAGGAGTGGTTAAAAATCACAGTTTTTTAATATTTAAAAATCTGTATTTTATTACCCGATTCCAAGATAAAGAGCCTGGCTTTAGTAGAGATCTGTGTAGATCGGCTTAATTTTTTTCAATTAGACAAGTAACTGTAGATAGTGCATCTACGATTTGGAAACCATAAATTCTGATTCATTCATGTGGTACGATTAAATCAAAACCCTGTAAAATAATAACTTTTGTTGAACAATGTGCGTAATTAAAGTGCCAGTAACTTTTAAAATACACGCCATCGTGTTGGGATTCAATATTTCGACATTAATTATGTCATCATCAGGAATGATGATGACTGGTAGCACCCTGTATTTGGATATAGATTCTGCATATATGCCCAAAGGAGCCAGGAATCCCAATGTTTAGGATTATAACATTTCTCATTATAATGTTTATAAGCTTCTAAAAATGCATTGGTAAAATGTTTACAGTGTGACTACAGTAGATTGTTCGTGAGATTCTTTTTTCTTTTAGCATTTCTTGTGTAGAATTGATATGTTTTGTTATTTTTAAATTTTGGCTCATCAGTTTGTTTTTAGTAACTGACTAAAAGATATTGTCATGTCTGTGATGTTACATAATTGTTTATACTTTGTTAACGATGCAATATTTTTAAGCAATTTTTTGGACAAAGAAAATTTAAGTTGTCATGTGAATTTATGTTAAAATAGTTTTAGTAGCTTTTCACTTTTTGAAATACCTGTATATTATTAAATAAATATTTACCCGTTAAAATGGAATTGCTTCTATATATTGTTCAACAGCAGGTTTGATTTGATGATTAGTGCCAGCTTGCAAAATAAGGCAATACTAGTTAATTTTTAACTACTGTGGGTGGTGGAGGTGATGCAAGTTTTTTTTAAGTAGTTTTATTTTACCATGCACTGTATATGTAATTTTTAGTGGTTTTATCTTTTCTATTGTAAAGCAAGTACTTTCAACCTTTGGCTGCTATGTTGCCGTTTTGAATCAAAATATATTTTTTAAAAACATGATTTTTCCGATAAAAGTTTATTATTTTGTGAAGTTGTATGTGATGCTTTAATTTCTTAATTGACCTTTCTTAACTGAATATAATAATAAGTGAATTTTCCTAAATGTCTGTTACGAATTGTCGACAATTTTCTATTAATTTAAAGTCGAAAATTGCCCTTCACTTGAATTTTAAGTATGATGAATGTCAATTGTTTGAAGCAAGAAATCTAGTTAAACTGTTAGGTTGAATTAATTGAATAAATTTTTACCTGGGCAGGGGTGGATCCAGCAACCCCTCCTCCCCCCCTCCCCCGTTTTGCCACTAAATTTCAATGCAAATCAATGTTATGTGCTACTCACCTATTCTGAAACTCTTGTTGCCCTTCCCTCCCCCTTCAGGGATGATGATGACGATGGTGATTTGACGATGATGATGTGACATAGTTGACGGTACTGTTTGACTGACAAACCACTAATTATGAACTTATTTGCGCAAAGCGAGCCCATGACAGGTGGCCTGGGATGTGGGAATGAACAAAAACAAAGAATTGTATTTGATGCTACAGTGAGCCCTAATGCTTTTAAAAGTAATTTTTAAACTTTTATATGTAGAGCAGCAAAATGAGCAGCAAACCTAGGTCCTAGTCTAATTCGTCAGGGTCACTTAATATCATACCTTTCAAATAAATGGTTATGTATGAGCACAGGTAGCAACCAATGCATTGGGGTGGGGGAGGGGGTGGCGAAAAAGTGAACTTGGCAAGAAGGGGTCCCGAAGGTTGGGAACGCTAGCAAAATAGGTCATAGGGGGAGTTTTGTGCTGAATTAATCGATGTCCACAGAAGCTCTAGCTTCGGAACTTGTTCTTGTGGACCAATTAAAATTAAGTATTTTCTATTACCAAAACTTGTAAATATTTGGAAGTTCCAAGAACTAAAATAGAGGGTGACAAGCTGATAGTTTGCTTTGTTGGAATTTGTTATTGCTTTAAAGTCAGGCTCCGGAGGAAAAAAAAAATTTTGATATGTTGTAGAACTGATTTTTCTGAGACAGAAAAATGTTGTTTGACGAAAAACTGAGCAACGGTGAATGAGATACAGATTTTTGAATATTTAAAAAAACTGGGGGAAAAAGGTGCAAAAATGGGCGGTTACGCCCCTTTTTCCCCCCTGTTTAAATATTCAAAAATCTCTATCTCATTCACCGTTCCCCAGTTTTTCGTCAAACAACGTTTTTGTCTTAGAAAAATCAGTTCTACGACATATCAAAAAATGTTTTTCCTCCGGAGCCTGACTTTAAAGCCAGGCTCCTTACAAACATTTTAAAATTATGTTGTAGGGGTGTAGAACTTTCCTTAGACACAAAAGTTATATTTGACGCAAAACTCAAATTGATGAGATACAGATTTTTGATATAAAGGGGCATACCACCCCTTCCCCCCCCCCCCAGTTTTTAAGTATTCAAAAATCTGTATTTTATTAACCGCTTCCGACTTTTCGTCAAATATGGTTTTGTGTGAAGAAAATGCAGTTGTAAAACACATCAAAACATGTTTTCCTCCGGAGACTGGCTTTAAGTGAACCAGTCTTATTATAATTAGGTTTGGATGGAAACACAATAGAGGGCGGTAGACTGATATTTTCTGGGTTCCTATTCTTTGTTTTTTAGGTTGGGTTACAATTAGGAATTACTGTTACGAGTAGTGGGTTAATATTAAATATGTAGGCAATTGAAAAAAGTAAACGCCCATCCACCCCTGGTTTTTCGTGTCAGCAATCTATAGAAATAAATTACTACAGTATGAGTATAAACACCGTTTGTTGATTTAAACTCAAACACACACATCAAACAAAGGAAATCATAAAGACGCATGGTTAGTTTATTTATTTATTAATAATTTGTGACAATAGTTAGGCATGTCCAATTGAATTTGGATTTTTTAAACTGCCATATACTTTTATAAAAGTGGATGTAGTGGGAAAAAGAGTCCTCGAACATGGTTCCTGGTCGTTTTGTAGCTGCATGTCACCGAAGGATGTATCGGGAAAAAAATTGGTCGATGAACTGCCAAAATCTATACTGAAATATCCTTATTCTAACTATGCCTTGATACATGGAAAAATTTCTATAGTTGTCTCATGTCAGATGGAAAATAAATCTATATAAATACATTTTTGACGGTTAAAGGAGAGGAATATGCGAGTATGGAAAAATAGGTGCCCAACAGGGATTCGAACCTGGGATCTACTGCTGCCTATGCAGACGCCTTAAAAAGCTAATCCATTGATGCTTTTGGAAATCCAAGTAAAAATCCATAGGACAACATTCGTTGAGAGTTATGCTACACGTCATTTATTCAAACACTATTTATACTTATAAATATACATTATATACCTATACACATAAATATATATATATATATATATATATAGAACTGGAGGTCGCTGGAACAGAATGTTGCTACTCGGAGTTTCACGCTATTGCGATCGTCATTTCTCCTTCCCCCCTCAAAAAAAAAAAAAAGCATGGGATTCTGCTACCATATCTTAAATTTGTTTTTCTTATATTCCTGCTTTCAACCAAATAGAAAAAAAAACGTCTCTGGTCTCGGCATATGGCAGGTAACTTCCCTATGGATTATACCCTTCTTTTTCTCACGTTCTTCTCTTTACATAAACTAAGTGCAGGTCTATAGACCACTTTTCTGTAGGCCCTTTTGAATTCCTATTTTTTACCATTAGCTGTTCCCACCAATTAAAGACTCATTCTACTAGACCAAAGACCAGAGACTAGACCAAAGACCATGGTTCTGGCGGACCCAAATGACCACTAAAAAGTAAATAGTGATTTTAATGCCATTTTTTCTATAATAAATATTGTTGTAAGGCTTAAACATAAAAATATTAGCCAATGCACATCATTTGTGTATCATATTGAGTAGCAATAATGTTAGTATATTTTAATGGAAAGTTGCTTAGAACAAGTACAGGAAATGATTTTTGGATTTCAAAGAAATTCTTTATTAAAAATAAATAGCATCATACCGTAACTGTAATCTATTTCAACCATTTAATCAATTCTCTTTGATTTAATGTATTTTTAATTTTCCTCTAAATGCGAAAGAACACATTTAATGAATGCTGGTTCGCCCCCCGGAACATCACATACGCCCTCTTCAGTGCTAGATTTAAGATCATTATTGCGAGAGCAAAAAGTAAACAAACCAAAGATTCTCCTCATCATCAAATAAAATTACTGTACCACAAACCAACCTAGGTTATACTCGACGCAGACAGAGTACAGTCAGTTGTTTTATTAGTTGAAATACCGTAACATTACAATGTCATTCGGAGGTGGATCAGAAGGCATTCCGTGTGTAAGTTTCCAGCAGTCCAGCGGGGCGGGTCCAACATGACCGGTCACAGAGAGGCAGGTGTAGCCTACCTGGCTAGGTTGTAAAGCACTGCTGCTGCATGCATGCAGGCCCAGTATAAACATGACGATAATTAAATAGCCTAACCTAGGCTGGATTAAACATGCTATCCTGCGTAGGAGGATATGCTAGGTATTGACGTTTATGGGTTGGGCCTACGTTTTTATTTTGCCAACATTAACATTGAGAATGGCTGACAAATAACACCGTCTGGCGATGTAATATTTTGAGCACTTGGATATTTAAAAGGTAAAACGCCTATTAGGATTCTTGTTATGCTTGTTTTATTTGCGAATACAAAACTGGCATAACAACATAAAAAAAAAAAAAAAAAACTATAACACTTTATCGCATTTGTTCAACAAAGGGGAGCGCACACACACTCCATTCCAAATAGGGACAGGTAAGATATTATAACGGTAACTCCAGACTTGTTTACCCTTCATTTATGCATTAGTCTCCGATGGATGTTAATATCTATTGCCGTGTAATTTGCAAATTTATATTATGATCTTTTACCTGTTTTTTTAGGTTGAAATTACGGTGGTAAAAAATCCTGGACTTGGTTTTAGTATAGCTGGTGGAATCGACCAAGATGCATCGAAGAATCCATTCAGTACAAATGACAAGGTAGAAGCAAAATACTCAGGGGAAAAAATCAATTCAATTCAATTTATTAAAATTCCTCTCAATTACAAGAGTGTATATTGCAGGAATATAAATTAAAAAATACACCCACAAGGGAGCCAGAGTATAAAATAAGACCTATGCAAAGACTATACTATCAGGGTCAATTTCTGCAGAGATTTTGCCAAAATTAGGCTTTTACCTAATCTTTATATATAAAACCAATGTATTATGCAGTAGCTACGATTCTGCCACCTACAGTATGTTGCTAATGATTATAGGTATTATTGAGGTAGTTTTTGAGGTATCTTCCGCACAATTAAAATACTTTACAGTCTATTATTTATAATTCCTAGTTGTATGTTTCTATTGTTATTATTCTACAGTATCTGATGTACCAAACATGTTTGATAATAATAATAATAATAATTACGATTTTTAAAGCGCAAACATCACCACCAAAAATAGGATGTAGACATTTAATTGACCTAGCAACTGCTATGTGAACCCAGAGATATTATTACTATTTGTGAATTGAAAATTTTTCAGGGAATATTTGTGACAAAAGTAGTTAATGGGGGTCCAGCAGAGCTCGGAGGATTGCAAGTCGGGGACAAAATTCTAGAGGTACAGTATATGAAGGAAAAATATGAAGTGCATATAAATGCAGTATTGTAATTTATATACCTAATGCAGTAGAGTTGCCAAGTAAATGATAATAGTTACTGACATCCCATTGAAATAGAAGGGTAGCCAGTTTCAAATGAAGATGCATAGAGGGTGACACAAGGTTTTCCTACCCCTTCCCCTAACCACACCTGGTTTTTAATGCATTCAAATATCTACTCTATGTTTGAAAAACAAACTGTATATTTTTTTTTCCTTTTTAGGTTAATGGATATGATGTTACTATGGCTACCCACAAACATGCAGTTAAACTTCTTAGTAAAGAGAAGGAACGACAAGTGATGTTGAAAGTTACCCGCCCGTCAATCTACAGGGGTCGCTGATGTGAAGGGGGTCATGCAAAAAATTAGCTGGGAGAGGGAGGGAAGTTGATAGTGTCATACAATTTATTGTAACATTAATACCAGTTCAACACCAACCAGCTTTCATCCAAGTTCAACATCAGCCAACACTAGGCCCCATAATATTGCTTGGACTTGTTGTGATGAGGCTGATGCATTTGCTGAATAGGTGCTATTTTTATGCTAAACTATGGAGTAATTATCATGGCAAAATTGTTTGGTTGACTGTTTATACAATTATGCAATTACTAAAACTAAAGTGAACATAAGTTGATTTTAGCCCACCTTATTTGTAGTAGTTTTTATATTTGAAAAGATCAATAAGGCTATAAGCCAATGAAATGTCCAGATGCAGGATTTTATAAACTGGAGGGTGGGGAGGGCTTCAAAGTTTTAAAATTAATTTTAATTGGAGAAGAAATAAAATTAGAGACTAAAATTAATGGTGAAATGTGACACGCTGATGATAAAAACTTCCTGCTTATGTTGCCCCTGTTTAAAGAACCTTTAAGACCAATTTCCACTTGATGTCATAGCATCACGCAGCTATAGTCGTAGTTGCATCGAGATTGTGAGTTGTTTCCGTAGATTTAATTGTTTCTAAGTTGTTTTCTGTTGCTGCTTGGAGTGGAAATCAGCCTTCATAATACTCTAGTCAGTTTCATCATTAATTCTTCAACATTAACATGTAGATTAATTAATGTAAGATTTGGAAAATGATGTCTTGAGATGTCTTCCAATAGGTTGTACCGGTATATTAAAATATATTCCTAATATGCGTAGTTTAAGTTTTAGAAATTATTGTTTAGTGTGATAGATATATGTTAGGTTTTAATTTTTATATTTTTTTGACTATTTTAATACAATAATAGATTGCCAGAGTGTGTTTTGATGCTGCTTCTCATTTTTTTGATATTATAACTTTGCTAATTTATGAGTACCTTGCCAATTCTGCAAGGGCCAATGCGTAGTTTTAGATATTAACAAAATAATGGATATGTATAAAGATGATAATTTAAGATTAGACTTATGGATTTAAAATGGACTAATAGTTAGTATTGCTGTCACTACAGGGTGTATACCACTGTACACCGCCACATAAGCAGTGTTCCACGTTACTAGTGCTGTAATCACTTCATTTGTCTCTAATATTAATGTTGTGAAGTGGAGCCACAGTTTTGAAGTTTTCATTCTTTTATTTTCATTTGCAGTAATGAGAAATGGCAAAAAAAAGGACATTAACAGAATGCTGGCCTCATTAATATTGTCACTGTTAATTGTCACCATTTACCATTATTTCAGTAGAAAATAAGACAAAAGCTCAAAACTTTGGCTTTAATTCACAACAGTAATAGTTATTATATAATCAGAAATAATGAAGTGTTGACTTATAAACGTTCAATAAAATGAGGAGACAGTAACTCTGAAAGAGACAGACATGTCTGTTTCTTTGTGGAGTTGCTGTCTTTTTGTTTAGACTAATTAGTGGATATATATATATATGGCTTAACAATGATTACCGATGGTATATGGTGATGTACGGTGATATGCACCTTTTAATGAGAAATCAGTGTTCTAATAACATTGTTATGCTTCAAATTGGATGCAATAAAACAAGAACAGAAATGAATGAGATTATGTCTGCTGTCAGATCTTACAAGGTCCTCAAAGCAAGATTATTACTGTACCAACATTTTAAAAACAAGAAGCTTTGGCATAAAATACACAAAATCAGAGCCAGGATTTCAAAAATGTTATGTGATATTAAGCATCACACTGCATCGTATGAGACATAGGCGTAGATCCCGGGGGATGGAGGGGATATATCCCCCAGTATTTGACAAGGGGTGGATGGTCCATTGTATCATCCCCCCAATATTTTGACTATGTATGGGATAAAATGGAGCTTTAAACACTTCAAAATACTGTCACAGAAATAATTTGCACTGTCTTATGCGCTTACAAAGATGAAAATTAGCATAATGTATTAATGTTGATAACAAAATTATTTTATCTGGTACCAATCTAAGCTCTTCTTTCCTTAGATGTTAGATGTGCTTGCAAAGAGAGCCACATTTCACACTGAAGGGTGTGTATAGTACGACATCAGTAATGTTATGTCAATTCCAAGAATGTTTAAGGTTATGTCGATTGATGAGGAATTTATTGATTAGGCCTATAACAGCAAATTGCATCAATTTATTTTGCAAAAACAAGGTTTCCAGCTTCAGAGGGGGGGCACATCTTCTGTCCGCACAAGGGCACACATTGGCGCTAACACCAGGCGCGTAACAGGGGTCTTGGGTCAGAGTGGGTATATTTTTTTTTACATTTTTTATTTTAACCATCTTTAAAGAGGGTACGGTAACCCTTGTAGTTTAGCCCAGTAGGTTAACTGATATTCAGGGGCCCTCTTTAATAAAATTAAAGTACAGTACAAACAACATCATCACAACATAATAATTATAATAATAATAATAATAATAATAACAATAATAATAATAACAATAATAATAATAATAATAATAATAATAATAATAATAACATACAATCTTCATTTCCCGGTTAGTAATTTACCATACCCACCCCACTCCCCTTACAGAAAACAATACGACATAGGGCTTATCTTATTTATAATATAGGCCACACACGTGTGTTTGAAACTAAATATAAGCATCATGGTTGTATTTATTACAAACACATTCTTTCACCATCTATAAACATTGAGGCCCTTCTTTTAGGTTAAAATGATCTATCTTAAATTTGTTTTTCTTGAGTTTGGGACTATTATGTGTTTAAATAACTTAAAAGGATAAAACTAAAAAAATTCCTAAAAAATGCGCGCCAAGCGCGCAAAATATTTTTGTGTTTTTAATTCTAATTTCGTCAGAATTGATGAAAACTATCTAAAATGTGCAATTTATAGAGGAAATTGTCCTACCGTAACAAGAAATGCGCGCAAAGAATTTGAGAATTTTAGGCACTTTCTGAGGATGCATTTGTCAAGGAGTGGAGAAAGATTTCCAAAGATGGATATTTTCCCCTTGACCCCCGGTGTTATTAATTCTAATTTCGTTGGAATTGATCAAAACTCCCTAAAATGTGGAATTTTTTTAGGAAATTGGGCCATGTTAACAAGAAATGCGCGCGAAATTTGAGGTTTTTAGGCACTTTCAGGGGATGAAAGGGCATTTATAAAGGGGGGGTGGGGAAGATTTTTCAAAGATAGATATTTTCTCCTTGTCCCCCAGTGGTTACGCCATCGGAGAGCCAAAGGAGTTATGACAGTTTTTGAAGTGGAGAAGGGGTTGCATGGGTGTTGTGAGTCTGGTCATTATGATATCTTCATTTTTATTCTTGTCTTTATTTTTCTCTTCTCTTTTTCTTTTCCTCCCTCTCCCCTCTTTCTTTTCTCTTATTACCCAGCCCGGTACGACGGCTTGGTCGGCTTGGTAAAAACTGTAAGGGGAGGGGCAGTTTCCCCCCACCCGTGCCTGTTACGACACTGGTCCAACACGCCAATCATCCCCCCCCCCAATGAAAAATATTTTTCTACGCCACTGGTATGAGAAATCAGTAAAAATCTCTTTAATTTGGTAATACTGTTCAGTGCTTTCTACACTGCTTCTTCGTTATCGCTTTTGCTATGGTACATTAAAATGTTTAAAATTATAATTTGATAATCAAATTGAACAGCAAAAAATAGCTTATTGTCAATCAATTAACTTAATATCAATTAACTTTTTTGAAAAACAATGGAAACGCTTCTGAGTCAACATAAATTGTATTGTGACAATTATAAAAACCTGATTGCTGCCCTCTACAACTTTTTTTTTTGGCATAAAATTGATATGTACAGTACATGGTAAATTATTGTATTATTGCATTATCATTGAGACTTATTGATCCCATTCCCAACCAGCAGAAATTCCAACTCCCGAACATCTAAAAGCGGGTCACATCGATCCGGAAAACGGGACTTCTTGTTCAAAAACCGGTACACAGCATACTTTGCGACAACTTCTTGTTTGTATAACAGGAAATGCAAGGGAGACAAAGAGGACATTTGCAAATAGGGTTACAGTACAGATCGAAAATGAAACCGAAAAGTACTGAATT